TAATTTTACAAATTTATTTTGTTTTATAACCCCTATAAGTTAAAATAAAGATAACTGCACACTGTTAAAGTAGGTAGGTAAAGAAGCATGCTATACGGATGTTTGAAGTGGTTTTTTTCCATTATAACATCATATGATGACGTCATCAATATTTTAACTGTCCCATTCACAGATTTATTTGAGTCAACCTGTGTAAGTAATTTTAAAAAATTGGTCGAAAGTTGTTTCAACAGACTCTGAACCTCCTGAAGTACAATGAAACGTATCCAGCAACTTTGAGTTTTCTTTATACAATTTTATGATGACGTCATCAACATTTTTGCAAGGACACGCATGTCAATTTGGATAGATGCAGGGCAATACTAAGGTAACTGAACTCAATATGTCCTAGTACCCAATATGGCCAATTGGCTTTTTCTCATACGTTTCAAACAAAATGTGGTAGATCGCCACTGGGATACATTCTGGAACGTCTTTATACCATATAGGAGCAATCAGTAAAGTAATACACCGTTTCAGTATGCGTTCTATTTATTTTATGCCGCCAAGTTTTCTGTGAATAGTTTTAAAATCTCAATTACGTTAGCAATTTCATATTTTTATAATTGTGTAGCTCCTTTTTTCCGCTTTTAAATGATCTGCATAGTTGTACTTCTTAACAACTTTTCAGTTGGAGTTACTGATAATATGTTCGCTTGTCATGTGGAATCAATATGGCCTAGGCGGGCTGTTGGCCTGCTTTTCCACAATTGCCCATTGAAATGGTGCAATTTTTAAAAAATTCTAAAAATTCGAATTTCACTCAGAATATTCCGAAAATATTGCTCCATTACCATATTGCTGATTCCATAAACCATATTTTTGGAATCAGCAGGTCGGGATCTAAGTATATCCCTGAATTGTTTCAGAATTTTTAGACGATTTTTTCAAAAATGAAATTTTCCACTATGTGTACCCCCCTATACAAATTTCGACTGATTTTCGACCATTTTCGAAATTTGACTAAACACATTTTGGTGTAGATTTCGGGCCGCAGTAATCACTTCCGGCCTCATTTCTTCGATTACTCCAATCTTGTTTCCAGAATTGTCCTTTAAAATATCGCAATTTTTAAAAATTTCAAAAATTTCGAATTTTACGCCAAATATTTCGAAAATGTTACTCCGTGACCCTAAACACGTTATATTTCTGGAATCAGCACGTCAAGATCTATAATTACGAATTTTTTGAGCATTTTTAGACCACTTTTTCAAAAATGAAATTTTCCATTATGTATCTTGTAGCTTTTTTTTACGTAATACATATAGTTTACTTTTAACAACACAATTACTCAACAACATGTTTCACATAGAAATTTCTGTTAGAAATACAAGGATTGTGTAATTAAGCTCCGCTCCAGGACTTCCGACAGGTAAAAAAAATCATTACAATCGAGAGAGGGCGGGTGGGTGGGGCATATATTATGCCACTTTTTTTCAATACACGTGGTCGTCTTTTCACAACAAAAGTTTCAAACAGATGACTATGTATATTAAGAAAAAATGGAAAAATATAAGCCCCGCCCACCCGCCCTGTCTCAATCGTGATGATTTTTTTTTTGCCTGTCGTAAGTCGTGGAGCGGAACTTAATTGCAAAATCCTGGTTTTCTTACAAGAAATTGCAATGTGAATCATGTTCTTGAGTAATCGTGTTATCCAAAGCAAACTAGATGTATTAAGTGAAAAAGAAAGCCAAAAGATATATAGTAGAAAATTTCATTTCTTAAAAGGTTGTCTAAAAATTCTCAAAAAGATCAGGATTTTCGAAAAATTCGGTGTGAAATTCGAAAATTTTGAAATTTTTAAAAATTGCGATATTTCAAAGGGCAATTCTGGAAAAACGAAGGAGTAATCGAAGAAATGAGGCCGGAAGTGATTGAAGAAAATGTGTTTAGTTATATTTCGAAAATGATCCAAAATCGGTCGAAATAATTGGCAGTATTTATACCCCATACTGGAAAATTTCATTTTTGAAAAAATTTTGAAACAATTCCGGGGTATAAATCCCGACGTGCTGATTGCAAAAATATAGTATGTTTATGATAACGGCGCAATATGTTCGGAATTGTTCTGAGTGAAATTCGAATTTTTTAAATTTTTTAAAAATTGCGACATTTCATTGGAAGTGACTTCTGCGGCGCGGAATCTACAAAAAAATGTATTTAGTTATATTTCGAAAATTCTGATAAATTTTTATTAAAAAAAGGCAAAATATATGAAGCTTAAGTGTATATTGTTACGTTGTACGGGTGATTAAAATTGGCGTGAGTAAAACTCAACAATTTATTACTTACTAACTCGAATATACACGACTAACTATTACAGCGATTATGTACAAACTATTTCCGGTGCGACTTGTCTGGTTCCCCTCGGTTCCACTGAATTCAGCTCTCGTTGTTTGGACTACACTCGACTGAATAATTCCCGTTCCCGAAGGGGGCCTCTAAATAAACCCATACTTCTGCGATCGAGGTCTTTCTCGAATATCCATCGCAACTGCCGCTTCGAAACTTTCCTGGACGCCGCTTCGAGACTTCCGGTAACCGGCTCCAGACTTGTCTTTATGCGACCGACGTTCAGTCGTCGATGAGTCACCCATCATCGACACACATACTAACAATATTGTTACGAAATAAACCCATACGCCGACCCGGTGCGACGCCTATGGCCGTCGAGACCTTTCTGGTCTATACGCCGAACATCATGACTCATCGTCAATTACAGCGACCGAGCGGCGCGGATCGCCACAGAAACGCCTAGAAACGGAAGTCGCGAGTGGGAGTTCCGGAGAAGTCGAGAAGCGGTGACGTAGAGTTTCGAACAAAATGTTGCGAATATTATAATTATAATTTTATCATTATTATATAAAGATATTCTTCACATTTTCGAGAAAATGGTGCGACTCGTTCTTAATTTGACCAAAAAAAAGTTGACGTTGTCAAAATGGATAATACTAGTGACAGTACAAAACAAAAGTAGTCACAATGCAAGGAAAAAAAGTATAGTGCCAAGTTCGGCATCTTACCCACGACGGCATGTCATTAATTCCCCGAGGAAACTACTGAACCACTGTGCCACGGAGACTTATATTCCGTGTTGGTAACATACCGTTATTATACCTTGCAAATATTTTTTCGAAAATTTGAACGTTTAGCGAAAAAACTCAAAGCGGATTCGTACATTACAAGCAAAGAAGTATTGAAAAAAATTGGATTGACAGCCAAACATTATCTTTGTGTTTGAAACACCCTCTAAAACCTGATTGTTTAATGCAATTTCTACAAAGCCTTTGAATTTAACCTTCCGATCTTTTTAAGAATTAACCCTTTAAAGAATGTTATTGTTGTTATATAACGTGAGATGACCTGACATATTTCTCACCAAAATACAATTTTAGCAGGTACGGTATCAACAAATTTTGCTTGAAATTGATAGAACTGTCACCCTACCTTACTTCCTGATAATAAAATTAACATTATTGACGATGAAAAAGTGACATAGTACCATAAAATTTTTCCATAATTAAGTAGTTAATTTTATTGCCAACCCAAATAGTGTTTGTTGATCATGCTGTATCATGGCCGACTAGTATAAAGATTATGGCCTGTCCAAGAGGTACGATACGTGTTGCCATCTATTAATAATTACACTTAATAATTTAGCAAAATTTTAATTTGACTTGACATTATGGGACTTCAAAACGTGTAATGGTGGTTTGTTTGGGTATGAATGCCTTTGTGCTTTTCAAAAGGTGTTAATAATTCTTTTGTCGATTTTGAATTATTAATAGATGGCAGCACGTATGGTACCTTTGCATAGATAAATAATACTACGTAAATAGAATGCGAACTCCCACTTGATTTTTGGTCTCAATAAACGCCCCCTGGTGCCTTGTGGCCGGTGCTAAAGCATGAACTACTAGATGCGTCATTGCTGCATATTTTATAATTAATATTTTATTTTTATTATCACTAATAATATCAAAAACACAAAGTAGAATAATATACAATTTATTAGTATTGTCTACGATTTTTTGACTTTAATTTTTTTTGGTACATTATACAAGCGTTTTGATATAATGCATTTTTATGTGTGGAAACTCTTGTATCGCGACCGCTTAAAATTAAATTCAAACCTTTTACAAACGTAAAAATTGTTAAATATATAATTTTATTACATATTTCACTTTCAATTAATTCCTTATGTTCACAATGAAACGAAAATTTGACATGATGAGATACTATAAACGAAATTTTGTTTTTGATGTTGTCGAAAGATGTACAATTGTTTAAAACGATTCTTGAAATATTATAAATTCTGTTAATGTTTTTTATAAAATCTAACTTACAATATTGCAATTTTCTGTTATTACAATTGTATTCTCTTATACGTATTAATTTGTAACATTGTTCGTCTTTCGAAAAATTGTTTAAAATTTGGGTTTTACAATATTCACACTTCAAATTTCTTAATGTTTTCGCAACCCAGCCAGACACATAACCAACAATACTTTTATGAAGATCTTTTTCTAAATTATATGGAGACAGTTTTGAAATGTACATATTCACGTTTAAAATTTCGTAACTCGTTTCATTTACTGAAGGTTGATTTATGTTTTTATCCACAAGTCTTTTAATATGAAATAAATCCGGTATGTTCGTTTTCTCACAGTTTGCGCCCACTGAATTTGAACTATAAAAATTGCGTAATAATAGAGATTTGAAACTTTCCTTAAATTGGGCTGCCGTTAGATTAGTTGCTCGATTTCTTTGACTTCTGATTTTGCCAAAATAGTTTTCAATAACATCTTGATTTAAACATCTAGGTAAAAAATATTTGCACCTGCCCTGTTCTACTAAAATTGTATGTAAATCCACAAAACCTTCTAACGTTGCAATCCAGTTTTTTATACACGGAGGTACTACCATTTTTCCGGCCTCATCGACGAAATACATATCACCCAAAATTTTGATAACTTCCTTCCAAAAATGTTTATGACCAGAAGATTTAAATACGCCCCCAGAAAATGGTTTTCCGCACCGTGGTTGAAAAGTACTGCCATTTACACTGTCGAAGAGCTTGTCAAAAAATTTTATAATTCGTGCTGTTCCCATTGCCTCGTGTGTTAAACTGCATTCGGCTGTAAAATTAAATTATAAATGAATCTGTTAATTATTTTTAAATTTGTATTTACTAGATTTAACCAATAGCGTAATAGTCGATGCCATTGAGTGACTCAAAACTTGTGTCGCATAGCACACCTTCATCTTTTGAATTTTTTCCGGAATTACATGGAGATCCGTAATTTTGTGTAGAGCCCGTAATTCTCCACATGTTTGATCACTGTAGTACGCATCGATTATATGTTTCCAATTTGCAACCAAAATTTCCTCGCTTGTTTTCCACACTAAATTTTTAGTAAGCAGATTGTTCCTAATACATTTAATTAAATGAGGCGTGTCATATAAGGGAATAATTTCTTGATCCCCTAATAAAATTCTTCTTTTAGGTTCCATCCCTTTATGTATATAACGTTGTTTCGACTCCTTTAGCAGAGAATTTATAGCTGCTTGGTTTGGTTGGCCTTGATCACAAATTGTAACCAGAATTTTGAATCCACAATTTTGTATTTTTTCAACCAGAGTTTTTATAATAGTTGTCAATATGTAAGATTTTGTAGACGAAAAAGAAAATGCAAAGTATATTGGCTGTTGCCATTTTTTAAACACTCCGCGAATGAAAAAAACAAGAACATGATCTGCTATCTGTAAATTTTGTTCAAATCCAAAATTTTGAAATCCGAAAAATGTATCCGTATATTTGTCATAGTCTATGTGGGGCATTATGGACATTTCATCAAAAATTAATGCACATATTCTATCTTGGTTATTTAATTTTGAAGCAGATTCTTTAAGATTGTCGAAAATTATTTTGTTTATACCAACGTCTACTGGAATTTTGTTCAACATAGACATAATTGTTTGACGTGAAGGCAGTGCAAAAATCTGTCTCATTTTTCTATAACATCTCCCAGACTGTTTATAAAACATTAATGCAAATAATTTATCTTCAGTGGTAAACCTGCGACCCTTTGGTTTGACATTTCGTCTTTTTAATTGTGATAAACAAAAATTTATAGCATCCTGACTTAAAATTTTGCTTTCTAATTTTACTTCAAATTTGGAGTATAATTTCAATCGTTGGCGATACGAAGCTACCTTAATTTTGTTTCTACGGGCTGTACGCGAAATATTCCTAGAATTTGAATGTAAATTTAGTATTCGAGAAGATTCTTGGTTTAAAGTTTCGTTTAGGGTTTCTCTGGAATTTCGAGATACTTCAGTACAAAATTTTTGAGAATCCAGTATAGAAATAGGGTTTACGGGATCATGGGTGTGTCTTTCGGGGTCGTTCATATTATCTGAAATTATTGTAAAAATTATCTATGGCATTCACTTGCACACTAATATTTACCATGCATAATTTGAATTGTAGGAATGGCAGTATTTTTAAGTTTTTGATTGGGGCCAAAATCCGTTTCTTTAAAATGTACATCGCAAAGAAAATATCCATTTTTATATATTTTCGTGGGATCTAATTTGCCTAAATTTGGATTTCCTGTCCGTTCCAACCAAATTTTAAAACGCTCGTTGTATTTGTAGGGGTTGGGAAAACGATGGCGTTTAATAATTTTAGTGTTTAGACATTTCAAAACACTGCATAGTTTCATATTTTACGCTTTGTTATCACGTATAATCACACAAATGACACTTTTATACTAATCATAAATGACATTAGTTTTTTTATTGTTTCTTAAAATTGGCTGTGGAAGTTGTCGCCAAGTAATTTTTGGAAAAAAATACTTTACTGCTCTCAGTGCTATATCTTATTATGTGGCCGGTACATAAGCCTAGACACAAACCTGGGACACGCATTACAGCCGAGTTTGCATTCTATTTTACGTAGTATTATTTATCTATGTATAACCTTTGGCATTCCTTTGGACAGGCCATAATCTTTATACTAGTCGGCCATGGCTGCATATAACATATCAGGTCCAGATTACAGAATCCAGTTCACATAGAAAATTAAATATTACTACATGACATTTTGTCAAAAGCTTGAACGTCTAATAATGCCCGAAACACCTCAAACTTTTTTGATTAACATCTCCATAATAGAAGGCCGCCATTACATTTGGCTGAATACAAATTCCGCAGTGTTAGTACAGATTGATAATTCAAAAAAATACACCACCGTGAGATATCAAACAGACTCTCCTTACTACAACGAGGTATTTATTTATAAAACACTACTTAATAAAAGTAAAATTACAACATTTTCAGTATTTCGTTTTCGAATTTTTCACAACCCTCGAAAAAGTCCTCGACAAGAATGTAAAAATTTCGGTTTTTAAACCTGGAGGGATCTTAAGAAAACGTAAAGTTCTTGGATACGTCAGCTTTGACGTTGGTACTATATGGTACCAGAAAGGTATGCTTACTATTATTTATAACACAAAATTGTAAAAATCTGACTTAGATCATCTGCTGTATCACAAATGGGCCATTCTGTTGGCGCCAAATAAAGATTATATCAGCGGAACTCAAGGTTATCTGAAAATAGATGTCAGCGTTCTTTCCAAAGGAGAAACTCCCAAAATACCTCCATTCATAAATACAAACGAGATCGAAGGAAATTTATTTGTGCCTGGAGGAAGCGCTGCTGATCGTCAGAAAGCAAACTTTATTTTTGATGTTTATCGAGGGATGGATCTTGTCAAGAAAAATCCGTCTCAGGAAAATGTGAAAAAATTTGATAACTTACCAACGACTCACGTTGGAATATCATTTTCTGGAACAAGCGTATGCTTTACTGGATAGTAGAAACGATTGAAACGAAACACTGACAATGTTACAGGTGAGAACTACCTCAAAGAAAAGTGCCTCCTCACCAGTTTGGAACGAACGCTTAATTTTATCGGAGCTTTTCCCTCCACTTTGTCAAAGATTCAGAATTGAGCTTTACCACGAGGAAACGAAAAGAGCAACCCGTCAGCTTAACTTATACAGTATTTCTAATGATAACGAAGAAGGATTTTTACCCACCTTTGGTCCATCTTTCATTCATTTTTATTCTCCGAATAATTTAGAGGGGTATTTGGGTAAAGTTCTACTATCTCTTCAAACTGTTTTTACCGGTGATTTGGCTGACTATGAAAGTAATAATGCTGTGGTGCATAAACCTGCGGCACCATTGAGAGAAGGATACTTTCTTAAACACGAAAATGTTGTTTTGTTTGCTACCATATTTGAAGTTACGTCTATTAGCAAAAAGTACAGCGATAAGCAAATTTCGTTTCGATTGTCTTGTGGTGTTTTAAATATGGATGAAAGTGGGGACAAAGATATTGCAGCTGTTTCATCGCCAATGAAGCCTAAAGTAACTAATAAAAATTACAGTTACTTACCTAGTGACCACAACAAGCTGTGCCTTCATTTAATATTGACACTACCAGATGTTAGAAAAAGAATGTTTAACTATAACTTGCTAACAAAGATCTTAAAAGAATTAGTAACTATTTATTTTAGGTGTCCAGATATGTAACCCATGTTTGTTTTTCAGAGGCAAAGACTAAATAAAATTGAAGACGTTTTTCAAAATAAAGATCATAAAATGGCGAGTATAGAAGCCGAACCTTTGCTTTTAGAAACTTTAGACTTTGTTACTTCCGCTGCTGGAAAATACAATGATATAGCGTCAAACTACAACCTTGAAAGCGACCCAGTTCTAGATCAACAGCGGCTCAGAATGTGTTTGAAAGAAATGGAGCTTGCAAGATTTGTATCCCAACATATTGTACGCAATCAAAGCAGGAGAAAAATTTTCCAAAAACTTGAAAAAATTTACACTAAAATAGAAGCTATAGTTGACATTGTAACTAACTTTTATGTATATCCACGTCGTTAATTTTGGTTTGTAGATAGAAGATTGGCCCCGAATTTATCTCTGGATGATCTACGGCAACAAACGTGTGGCTTATGCTATTATTAATCCTCGAGATGTTATTCACTCTCCAGTAGAAGAAGAGAAAGGGCTTTATTGTGGTGTTCTACAAAACATCTACTTTCAAACAGAAACGAACCAGTATACTGAAGATTTTATTTCGAGTGTTTGCACCGCGAATATTATGCTGTGGATGGGTTTTGACCGACATTTACACAGTACCTTTCCTTCCGGTTTTACCATTTCAACAGAACCTATCCCTAGAAATTTGATAGCCGAAGAAAGTTATTATTTTCAAGCGCGGGCTCACATTTTTCAAGGGAGATTAGCCCCAGGGGCTGACAAAAGTGGCCTTTGTGATCCGTTTGTTGACGTAATTATTGGACCCCACTTTCGACGAACCCAGGTGTTGAGAAAAATTTTGACACCAGTGTGGGACCAGACTTTGATTTTTCCAAAAATGCGTCTATATGGGGAACTTAATTTTATCATTGCCAATCCTCCTACTGCTTGTTTTGAGGTTTACGACAAAGATGAATTAGTATGAGTGTTACGTTTGTAAATTAGTACCTTGATGGTTGTTTTCAGCGAAGTGTTGAACCAATCGGAAAATGTATTCTGAACCCTGTCGTTAAAACAAAAGAGGATTTTTATGATTCTTCTAAACCCCGTGTCAAACTTTCATGGCACAAGATTTACAGTCGATTTAGTGGGGGTGGAGAACTTTTAGCCGGTGTTGAACTACTAGAAGTTTCTGAAGATCAAGCCGACAGTAAAGACGACGTTATCCTTAAAATACCTGCAGAAGTTAAACCAAATTTTATTAATCATCGAATCGAAGTGGTATTCTGGGGAGTTAGAGACCTGAAGAAAGTTCAGATGAGTCAAATCACTAAACCAAAAATCACAATAGAGTGTTGTAATACTAGTGTTTCATCTGACGCACTTTCAAATGCCAAGAAAAACTTGAATTTTGCAAATCCGATAAAGTTGTTCGAACTTAACATTCCAGAACAAGAATACGCACCTCCACTATGTCTTAAGATGTTTGATTGTCGAAATTTTGGAATAACTGTGTTTGCAGGTACCCACGTAGCTCCACTGGGGCCTTTCTTTTACAAACCTCTGAGTAGCTTGGAAAGAGAATCCAAACTAATGCACGTTCAGCAAAGCTCTATAAATTTTGTTCCCTCTCTAGGTACGTGATTCTTGAATACAAATTCGAGTAAGCGTTATATATTTGCAGGATCTATTATACAACAGTTAGAACATGTTCAGGAAACGATACCAAACGTTGAAGAAACTTCTCCCAAGGAGAATAAATGGCGAACATTTTTAAAAAAACTGTACCGTAGACAAAAATCTGAGAAACTGTTGGCAGACACCGAACCGGAACAACTTGAATATAATGACGATTTTGACTGGTGGACTAAATTTTATGCCTCCCAGGAAGTACTAATTTCAAATAATTCTTTCAATTAACATTATTTTAAAGGAAACACACACAAGTAGCGAGATTCCTCTAACTCACAAGTATAAATTGAAGGTAGTTGTTCACTTTCTTTATTTTATAATTTTTTCAAATTTCATTGTAGATATATCAGAGCGAACTTGAACAACAACCTGAATTTGGTGGTTTTACTGACACTCTTACTTGTTTTCCAATGTACAAAGGTAAAAAAACTGGAGACGAAATAGTAGACGAGGAAAACACTACAGGGATATTTAAAGGAGCTTTAAAAATTTATCGGTGGCCTTTGAGCAACGACTATGTGACCTTTAAAGGTCTGCCTTTAGAACAGGGAATGTTTCAAGACTTTCCGTCAAATACTCCTGTTCGATTTGTTGTAAGAGTTTATTGCATACGGGGTTTAAATTTAAGACCGAAAGATGTAAGTGGAAAATCGGACCCTTACATTCGTTTAAAGCTTAACCAACAAGAAATTAACGACAAAGATAATCCTGTGATGGGACAATTGAATCCAATTTTCGGCAAATGTTTTGAAATGAAGGGTGTTTTCCCCGAAGACCATACTTTAGTAATTACAGTCATGGATTACGATGTTGCTACAGCAGATGATCTCATTGGAGAAACTAAAATCGATTTGGAAAATAGATTTTTTACTAAACATAGAGCCAGTTGTGGGATAGCTGGGCACTATTTAACGTAAAAATAAGGTTGTTTGAAATTTTTATCAATAAGAAATTTTGTAGTTCAGGTTACTGCCAGTGGAGAGGTCACCAAAAACCGACTGCAATTTTGGAAACACTTTGTAGCAGATTTAATATACCGGACTTACACTACGAAAGAAATTTTGTAAAAGTGGCTTCTAGGATGTTTAGTCCGGAGAATTTTACTAGTATAGAACAACAGATGAACAACAGCAGATACAGGTTAATTTGTTGTAGTTACTGACAATATAGACATAGATCGTCAAATACTGGCGTTAGAAGCTCTAAAGCACTGGTCCGAAATACCACTAGTGGGTTATGCACTAGTCCCCGAACATGTAGAAACCCGATCTTTATACAACCCTCAAAAACCAGGACTTGAACAGGTTACTAACATTAATGTGGCTTGACCAAAAATTTTTGGGTAGGGCAAGTTGCAGCTATGGATAGATATTTTTCCTTTAGTCGACGTACCCACTCCTAAGCAGGTGGACATTACCCCACGTAAACCAGTACCATATGAGCTTCGAGTAATTATCTGGAACGCACACGGGATAAAAGTCCCAGAAAAAGATTTGCTCACAGGCGAGAACAAAGCAGACATTTTCGTCAAAGGGTCAGTCCCAAAATAACTTATAATTAAAATACATGATCTTTTTAGATGGATTTTATCACCCTCTCACCCTCAATTTACTGACGTACATTATCGATCCCTCAACGGAGAAGCAAACTTTAACTGGAGATTCGTCTTTCCTTTCGATTATCTCAGTTCTGAAAACAAAGTCCTTATCAAAAAGAAGCTGATGTTTGGAGCTGACGAAGAAATAAAATTACCATGTCGATTAACACTGCAAACTTGGGACAACGACACGTTTTCTTTTGACGATTTCTTGGGTTTGTTGAATAGTTCTTTATAAAAACTAACGCTTTCCCCTAGGTACAACAAATTTGGAGCTTTCTAAATTACCTCGAGCTGCATCTTCAGCAAAAGCATCGGAATTAGCACATGAACAGCATAAGAATTCATTTACTAATCTTTTCAAAGTTCGAAGAACCAAAGGCTGGTGGTCTTTAAAAAGCTTCGATCCCCAAACACAAAAAGATGTTTATGGTGGATCTCTTGAGCTGGAATTTGATTTGGTAACGGGAAAAGAAGCGGAAAAGTTTCCGGTGGGGTTAGGACGAGATGATCCTCAGGGACTTCCTAAACCTAAGTAAATATAAGTCATTGCTATATTTCTTAAATGATCGAATGCATGTTCTAGTCGTCCCGAAACTTCTTTTTCGTGGTTCAAAAACCCATTTAGAGCAATGAAATTTAGTCTGAAATTTTTTACAAAGAAGTGTAGGAAAATTATTATTATTGCTGTGGTGATTTTGATTATCATTTTGGTGTGCTTTATGCTGCCTGGACTCGGAGTAACGAAAATTTTGGGGGGTTAAATATTTTAACAGCATTATATGCAATATTTTTAGTAAATAAATATGTTGTAGTCCCACAACAGCATACACAAAGAATTGTACAAAATATACACACATGTCAAAACGAATCGTGTTCGTCTGACAACACAACTGCGTTGCCAGATGCTCATCATACTGATTAAGACGTCATCATTACGCCACCTATAGCAGGAAAAGTCAGTAAACGTAAACTTAAATTTTGATCAAACAATCATATTTACATCTGTAGACCCTTTATAATTAAATATATGGTAATTTACAAAACAACACAGATCTTCCATTTTCTAGAGTGTTCACGATCCATTGGCCACATTTTCTGCTTATTAAGTTTGAATTATATATGAATTAGGTGTTTTAATAGCTTAGGACTGGTTTATACCCTTGACGAAATCTTTTGCCTTATTAATACAAAAATAAAGTTTGTCAGCCCTGTAACACGTGGGTAATATTTTTGTTTCTTTTTAACTTTTTAATATAAGGACACAAAAGAAAACAACTTTTGAAACATGTAAACATATATTACAAAAGAAATACATTTTATATCACATTTATAATTTAGGTTTCTACTTAAAATAATAAATAAAGGAAAATTCTACTCAAATTCATTCCAGAAATAGACGTAAAGACAGAAAATATGGCAAAATAATTTCAGACTAACAGACGTACTAAACAAATCTCAAAAAGAACTTTTCGGAGAGGTTACGTGGTCCCACACTTCAACGTTGTCATATTTTCTGCCAGACTTATTAATAATAAATATATCAGGTACCTACTCAACAACATTAAAACATCTAACAACAATGGCTTAATTCGGTATGTCTTTTCCCCTAGAAAAATAGGTTTTTCCCTTTCATTAAAACTTCTCGTGTGTAGAATACCAACTTTCTCAAAGAAGCTTAAGTCTTTAATAATTATCTAGAAATTTGGGAACAAATTGTACTTAACTAACAATAGTGCTGTGAATACTTGAATTGACAAAACTACTTCTAAGTGCTGCCTTTATTGTTGAAGCTGACAACTGACCTCAGCTTCTTGCGGATTCTGGGCGAAGTCCATTTACTAGCGTGGCCCGAAATAGGATTCAGATCGTTTGGGGAAACCCCTTCATCGACGTCATCCGCTTCTGTCTTAATTTCCATCTTCTACAAAACATAAATCAAAGGGTAAAAACAAAGTAAAAACTAACACATTGTCCAACCTGGACGATTAATCTCAAAAACTGTTGTTGCGTTTCTAGAGCCGTGGTAATCTCTTTCAGTTTTCTCTTGGTTTTATCCAGTTCGCTCACCACGTAATCTTCAGTGCTTTCCATAACCATGTCCAAACCTTCAAAAGTCAAATAAAAAATTCTGGGCTACAGAACTACAGAGGGCTAACTAATGCAAAGGAAATTGCAAAAAAGCAGAGTCAAGCATTCAAGCACCGTGAAAAAGGGGAAAAAACAACAAAAATGTGAGGGTGTCTAAATATTTTACACATCCGCCTACCATGAGATCGCCATCTTGATTTGATAAACTGTCTGTGTTTACTGTGGAACCCTGTAATAAAAACATGCTACAACTCGACTTTTGTGCTTAATGAGGTGACACCTCTATTGCAAGCTTTATTAAGCTAAAAGTGACAAGAGTCCTTCACGGGACTCTTCCTTACTTAAGCGTCTATTAGCTTTATAAATGAAAAAATAGTTTGAATAGATTGTAATAAAGCATGCAAGTTACCGTTTATTATATAACACAAGTACCTTCGTCTGAAAAGGGGTTCCCAAACCATTTGCGCAGAATGGAATCGAAAAAGCCGAGTTTGCATTTGGTGTCGTTGGGGTATTCAATGAGTTCGCATTTATCGACACGTTCCAGAAGCATCTTTGGGAGTTTTCGTTCGAGTTCGGTGTGTAGAACAACCTATTTACAAGAGTGTTGCAAAATTTGTAAATGCGATAAGTACGAAATAGTACCTGCATTGCCAGTCTCTTCAACTGAGCATTCCTTCGTACTGACTCTATGTCACCGACGGCCAAACCGATGAGCAAGTTCATGAGAAGGATTGGCATTAGTACCATGAACAAACCCAAGATGAAAAACGCTGGTAGCGGGAATGGTAAGAACGATCTCTCATCTTCCGTGGTCAGATAATACGGTTTGACGTAAGTACCCAGAAAGTCAATTTCACCCAACATCATGGAGAAAGTGCGAACTAAGCTCATTGGTATGGTCTTGAAGGAAAGGTGGTCACCCTGAGACAAATTAATAAACAAAGGTACTCTATTGTGTTGTAAAGCACTTACCCTTGACAATAAAATGTAGAAAGCAAGACCAAAAGCTATAATCAGAATAGAGAAGACCATGAGTACTTTAATGAGAGTTTGTAATATCTCGAGGAACATGACGACGTAAATTCCCACTTGGTCGAAACGTTGCAAGAGCAGAAGAAGGTTGAACCAGCTCAAAAATACGGTGACAGAAGCACACGAAAACTGGAGTTCGTACATGGTGCCCCAGAAAATCGGAAATACCATAATGATGGCCGAGGAGTAGAGAACCCAAGTGACCAAATTGATGGGATCCATAAAGTACATGTACTTTTGCTGGTACATTTGAATCATCTCTCTGATAGCGTTGATGATTATGTGGGTTATTATAACAAGAGCACTCATGTACATTACGTTGCTGATTTTGACATTCAAGATGCTAGATCTACTAACGCTTACATATTCCTGTAGAAAATACAGATGTAAAAAGTAGGCACTAAGTAGAGTTGTGGTACTTACGTCATGCGTCAGGTTAGTAGTATTTGCCATTGCATATTTATCTTCATCGTGCCTCATAATTTCGTATGAAAAGCAGGTTACAAATGCAAGAAAAATACTATAAAAGAGAACGTTAGCCAAGTGAAAGTACTTTCCGTAGGAGTTCCATTTCATTTGCAGGTATTTTTGGCTAAGCGGGTGAGCTAATAATTCTACCCTACCGTGGGACACCATCGCCTAGAGAGAACATGGTAAGTACTAACAAGTTAGTAATAGTTGATACAACTTACATTAAGAGCTGGTAGAGGAATTGGTTTCGAAATAGCTAAAGCATCTCCAGTTTTGTGATCCACATCTGCGTAAAAATTCGAGCACTGCAGAGCCCCAAAGTTATACTTAATCTAAAACACAAACCAAACAATTCTCCCAAAAACCCCTTTCAACCAACTCACATAAAACGACTTCGAATCTTTCTTGCAATTAGCTTTGGTAATACACTTATCTTGCACCGCCTCAAACACCTTAGGCATTGAGGCAATCAAAGCCAACGTAACGTGCGGATGCTTGCTTGACTTCAACGACATAACTTCTTCGGCTCTGTCTTCATGCGTTACCATAGCTAGAGCTGCTTCTGGAAACTTGTAGTAGATGGCGTAGTCAATAGCACTCATGTCCATCTGGTTGTACAACAGTTTGCAGTTCACGGATAAAAGAAGAGCTATGGCGTTAGGTTTATTCTCCATGGTGGCCAGATGTAAGGCTGTGTTTCCGTCTTTGTCCGTTTGGTCTAGTAGGTGTGAGTGAACTGATAGAAGAAGCTCAATGGTTTGGGTATAGCCATTCATGGCTGCTAGATGTAGAGGGTTTCGGCCGTTGTGGTCTCGATGAAGAAGAGCACCGCGGTTGAGGAGGAGCTGAACTACACGTGTGTGGCCTTGTTTGGAGGCTATGTGAAGGGGAGTGAGGCCTTCACCGTCGCTTTCGTTGATTATGAAGGTGCCTTTTTCGGAATCGAGGAGTTGGCGGACTGTGTTGTAGCGGCCATATCTAGTTTTGCGAGAAAAGCGAAATTGGTGTATTAGTTACAGATATACGATTTTAGTAGGGTAGTCAGAATGTATCAGTGTTTGTTCAGTTTAATCTGCATCCATTTCAACCATCTCAGAGATGTGCTAGTTGAAACATGTGTTAAATTTTGGTATGTAGAAACTTGTTTATAATTTCATTAGAGGGTAAATGTTTAAACAAAAATGAAGCGCATTCGATGCCACAGTCCCCCTCCTCAACGAGTATAATTACAATACAATATCAGTTTATTATTGATTTTCTAATCTAAACATTGTGAAACTTTGGCGAATTCGTCAACTCGTGTAATTTTTGTTTTATAGTTCGTAAAATTCGAAGTTTATTTCAATATAGTGAACTATTTATGTTTTTAATGCAACAATGAAAGAAAATGTTCACAAAAGAAAACACTTGGTGGAAATTCACTTATTCAAGTTCAACTTATTTTAAATTACGATAATATCTAAAATACTGACGAATGTTTTTACTTAATTACTTATTATATTATCCACATTTCATACACTTGTTACTCGAGATATATGGTAAGTTCATTTATGGCATTTAAACTAATCTTAAATGTTGAATCTATTTTGAGACAAAGGACCTTGAAAATTTTCAACAGTCAAATAAATAGTATCGTGGATCGGGGAAAAACTGTTTAATTTGTTCTTTTTTATTTGTGTATCACGGTTCAATAAGCTGAATTTAGAGATTTTATTTTTAACAAATTCTCGCAACGTGGGGTTACTGAGGTAAAATTTGGGGTAACTATCGACCAAAATTGAGAGCTTCTCTGTGTTTGTCGTTTCATGTGAATGTTTATCTGCAACGACGAATTTTTGGTCTCATTTGCGAGAATAAAAATAAGTCTCAGGAATGTGAGTGCTTGAAACCCCATAGTCCGTATTATGATTGTGGTTAGGGCAAATAGACCTTCACAAGCAGACGCCCTTCGCGCCGCTGTCGCTATGTTACCTTCACACTGCATAATTAGTATTCACTTAGCTTGATATTTTCTTTGCTCGACTATTATTTTTATATAATATATTTAGCAAAAGCGGATAAAAAACTTATTTATATAGACGATTACATCCAAAAAGTAGAAACATTTATACCAACAACAAAAATTTGAAAAATCAAAAATAAAGAACCCCTTACCCACACGCAAATCAAAATTAGTGGGTAATCTTAAAATGTTTGAAGTTTTCTTCAACGTCTACAATATGTCATACCCTAATGAATTTGAATTCCAAAAATGTATGGATAAAAATAAAAGTAATAATAAAATTACACAAACTTGAGGAACCAATTAGACGAATAGTATCCTTCATAGATACAGCAGCCAGGTTATGGGTAAATAGACGGTGAAGATCATAAAGGAAGCAATAATATTTAAAGGGAAATACGGTGTCAAGGAGAACGAAGACTTCATTTAAAAACGAGGAAAAAAAAACAGAAAATTTATGTCTTTAAGCATCCACAAAAATAAGAGAAATCCCAAAGTAGAATGTATAAACGACCAAATTGAACTGCCATATAAACCAATTTTCAAGATACGAGTAATTCGGGGAAATAGAAAACACAGGTGCACTCTAAGATCGACACAGCTGTACAACTGCGTAGAAGCACAAAATCGGTCGCCAAGTCCACTTTCAGAGGCGTCCGTCATCGTTTCTCTGTTTAGATTAGTGCCTAATAGATTCATTCGCATTCGTACTAGCGTGTTGACCAGTTCACTTCAGTTTATGTTTCCCTGTGTTCTGTGTTACTGTTTGCGATTTAAAAAAATACTTTAAAAAACCACCCCCTTCCGAAGTGTGCATGTTACGCCACTGACTGACAGCCCGTTCTCAGATTCTGATGACTCACCATGTTGAACTTAAAATGATCCATCTCTAACGGCCGAACAAATTTAAGTTGGTCTATAAGGTAAATGTTAGGTTTTTAATTGCAACCTCTACTATGCATCTGTAAACTTATGTAGGGTAGAAGGAGTAGCTGGCTGAAGAAGGAGATTGGATCCTGCCACCGGTACCACGGAATAAATAAAAGTAAATAAATTTGGGAGGTAGCTGTAAAAAAGAAAAACTTAACCTAAAAATTTAAAATTTTGTGTTCGTGTTTGATTTTGGCGGGATGTTTAAATCACCACAGTGTGTTATATGTTCATTATCATATACATATTTGTTTGTAAAGGTTATCAGTCGTTAGTAAACTTTATTAATCTATAACAAGACAGAAAAATGTAGCCAAAAAAAAACTAGAATACTGCTGAGTTTACAATTTTGAAACGCAAAAAAATGGAATGTTTCTTGTAAAACTACCTCTTTAATTAATTTAAACGGAAAATGCTGTACTACATAATTAAATTATATTTACATACTTTAAGGTAATATAAAGGATTAATATAAACTCCCGGAACGATTGAAATCACTTTGTTATTTGAAAGGTTTTTTTTTTGGAAACATGACGACTTGATTACAATACTTTTCCTTTTTTTATAGCTTTCGGTTTGACACACAAGGCCGCCTACTTTTTTTCAATGGAACACCCAGATTTTTTGACATTTTCTGATTCAAAATAAAAAACTAAATTCACAAAAAAACACCAAATATTGTAAAATCACGTCATCTTTGAAAATACTAATACATAATAAACTGTGAGTGGGACTACAACACATGTTCAACGTGTTCTCCGTTTACAAATTGCCAGTGATCAACAAAATATCTCAGTGAATTATGTACGATTTTACAATATTAGGTGTTTTTTTGTGAATTTTTTTATAGTTTTTGCATTAGTAGAAATAAACATGTTGCTAATTTCTAAAGGTAGTTTTTTATTCTGCTTCAAAAAATGTCAAAAATCTGGGAGTTCCATTAAAAAAAAACTAAACGACCCTTTCTGTCAAACCGAAAACGATAAAAAAGAGGAAAAATGTTGTAATCAAGTCAACATGTTTAACTATATATCCAAAGCAAATTTTCAAAAAAAACTTTTCAAATAACAAAGTTATTCGACCGTTCCGGCACTTTATACTAATCCTGTATAGAGACAAGTTCACAAAAAGTGGGAAGACTTACTTAACATGTTTTTCGTGTGGGTTAAATACATTTTTTTTACGCTTGTAGAAGGAGAAAAATGCTAAACATTTTGTTCGTACATATATGAAAAAGTCTTCATTATCATGCATATCTATAATTTAAAGAAAACAAATCAAAAATTCTGTTGTTGTAAGTTTAACATAAAATCAGAAACCCTATTTAAATTTCCACATGGTATGCAAACACCTTGGAGGGTCAATGTAAATGTACGGCCACTCGACCCTTTGTGGGCATTTCTGAAAAACGCCCATAATTATCGGTTTCCATCTTCCCTAGTTATATGAAACGCTGGAACAGGAAATGATCCCGAATACTGAATGAATCTGTCTATGTCAATGGGGAAATAAAAGCAGAGAAATTATTTAATTTTTGACGTATATCAACAGTGAGAAAAACCTAGTTTTAGAAGCAGTCATAGGAATAAGAGTATTAGATTCAGGAAACAGTAAGAAAAATTCACGTAAAATCAAAGAAACAAGCACCATCACCTTTTATAGCTTCCATTGCTAAACCACTCAGCTTAATTGTTCATTTACACATTTGTTTTATTAACAACAATTTCCTCGACCCATATTAACGTCTCAAATAGAGTTACTTATAATATAAAAAATGAATTCATCCAACTCATATAAAAATATACTTACTTATTTGCATATTAAAAAATGAACCAAAACAAAAAAATTGTATTTTAAGTGACTCACTGACTTTTAAATTCAAAAACAACAAAATAAAAAATAAAGGAATATTATTCGAACGCACGAACAATAGCGGTAAAAATTCAGTCTTGTCGACCTCAAATTAGCTGAAATTGGAGGCAGCAAAATTTAATAAAAGGAATCGAAGCTCGGCCAGATGAGGACTTCGAATGATATAACCAAGAGAGAAGAAAAACGGGTATAAAAGACGAGTAAATTGAATTCGACTACAACATCTGTACCCACCTTGCTGCAAAGTGCAGCGGGCTTTCGTTGTTGTTGTTCTTGAGGTTAATGGTGGCCCCCAACCGAATCAGATTTTCCAGACTTCTTATATGACCCTCTCTGCTGGCGTAATGCAAGGGCGAACACCCGGTGATGTCCTTCTCGTTGAGCAATTGCAGCAGGCTACACTGCGATTTAGCCTGAAAAAAGGATAACAAATTAGCACGTGTCGTTCCTGCTGACAGGCTTCCTATGTCTGTTTAATTAAAATGATTGTGAGCTAAATTTGCAATTACGGGTATTAAGTTTTCTCATTCAACCACAGATTGTAGTTTGTTGTAATGAAGAGGTTTATAATTACCTTGCTTACTTCAGAAGCGAACTGCTCTAGTCTACCCCCGTTCATTACCACCAGATGCAGGACATTCCTTCTGTTGACGTCTTTTATGTTGATGTCTGCCCCCAATCGGATTAGCGTGTGGACGGTGCGCCAGCCGCCGCGGAGGGCGGCTAGGAGGAGCGGCGAACGTTTCTCTTTGTCCACGGGGTTGATGTCGGCGCCCTCGGTGACGAGGAATTCTACGATTTCGGGGTGGTCGAACATCGCGGCGCAGTGAAGAGGTGTCATCTATAAGAAATAGGTTGTGAATTTTCTAGTAAATTTAAGAAAATCGGTCCACACTCCATAAAATTCTACGAAAGCACGCATAAGCAATTTTGGTGGCATTTTGTAAAATATGCTACATTTTGAGTAAAATTTGTTGAACAAAATTTTGATATGACGTCGTCAGTTTTTTGGAGAGGATGGCTAGAACAATTTTGGTTAGTGATTTAACACCCGCTCAGTAATCGGATAACACACTTAAAATTTCGAAGCAACTGTTTTCATAGTGTTGGAGTTTATTTATCCAATAAAATCGGTTAGACAGAAAACAGTTTAAACAAATTATTTATTTTTTATTTTGGGTGAAATGTTTTATCATGTATTTTTAAAAATCAATAATTCACTTATATATGAAAATTTCAGAATGCGGTTCTTACCACTGTTCCCAGCTTATAGAAGTCTAGGCACTACCTAAAAAACGATAACGGCTTTCTTTCTTTGTTGGAACATTATTCGTTATAAACTTAGTTAACATCACTAAATCTAAAAATTTTCAAAAACGAACAGTTAATCAATCATAATATTTTAACGTCCATTTTATGACCTAAATGCTGGTCTCCTTTTGAAAATCAAATGTGATCATATTGTGTTGAAATTTTGTAAGAATTTGATTGTTGAGTAGTATGTATTGAATGGAATCAGTCGAATGAAAAATTCCGATAATAGAATTTGTACACCAGCAACTGAAAAAATTGAGTGTGATAAAATTATATGAACGCAGACAGCGAGATGTATTTAAGAAAAAACGTGCGAAAGGAAGTAGACAATGACATTAGCCGACGATTCAGAAATGTTCAGAGTATATAATGTTTCGAATCTCACTGTTTTGTGCAAGCATATTTCATTCTGTAACGAAACAAATAGAACAAAAATATGGGAAACGAGCACGCTTCTAAAACGAAAAGCGATTAATTAAATTCAGTTTTTAAAATTAAAATTGACACATTCAGACATTTAGCTCACATTTTAATAAACAGCATCAACCCGGCACTTTCATTTACTTATAGTTTCATGTGTACCTACTCACGGGAGCCCTTGAGTTGATTGATGTGTTTGATTCTAAATAAATTAATTTCCTGACAACATTAAAAATATTTCTTAATAAAAATATGTGCTGTATAGACTTGCTTTAATTTTTCTTTTTCATATTACACAACATATCAAAAAATCTTTTTTTCTGATCAATTGTAAAAGGATAAGTTAAATCCCAAAGTTGTGTTTTCGAAAAATGTTGACTTTTTCTGCTAGAAAATGTGGGTGGTTTGCAACAAGTGGTATGGTGCGTTGTCCATTTTACCACACATTATCGTTGCAACTTGTTCAAAGCAGGAATAAGCTAATTAACTACCCAATTTTGAAAAAGTATCCAATCCATCGGTTTATGGTAATCTCTGTCCTTATTTGATGAACTGACAAAATCTCTAGCATAAAATTCATCGCCCCTAACTAAACATGATTAGTAGAGAGCGGATTTCTAGATTTAATACTTTTTGTGAAAAATGTAAGCACTTCAAAACTTTTTTATATCTGTAACTATGATACAATTTGGAGTCATTTGACACATTTTTTTTTATGCTTATTTGCTTTTTTTTTCAATTTTATGCATATTAAAACTTATATGCTTATTTAATGCTTTTTTCGACGAATATGAGTTTTAATGCATATTTTGTTCAAATGCCGGCCTTGTCGGGATGACAAATACTTGTTAGTTAGCCGTATCGTATCGTATGCATTTTACCTGGATTTGACCATTGAAGTACACTTACTCAAGACCCTTTCTGTGAATAGGGTCTGGTCGTTTGGGTAATAAAATTTTATTATAAGATTGGAAAAATACTCCATAGATTTTATGACTTTAAATCCTTACTTCCGTTGATAATGAATTAAAGCTATCAGATGTTCTTTTTCGGCATTTTGCGGCAAGACCGTTGAAGATTTTCTAGAAAAAAGGATTATTGTACCCAACTACCTACCTTAAAATTTTTCTAATGGAAACTTTTAAGTAAATGAACCGTTTATTTCACAACCATCAGTCTATCGCATCTGTCGTAGTACAGTGTTACACGTGGTTCTCCCTTGTTACATGTTGAGTTCTTTTTGGTAATATTACTAATATTTTAAAAGAATACCGAAAGTAAAATCGACGCCGGATGAGTGGATAAGGGATTTTCCATAAATAAAATTAGAAAACAACAAAATATTCTGCAGAGCTTGTGTGAAAACCGTAAGCCCACTAATTTTTTTTTATCTATTTTCCTTTGTTAATCCTGTATATGTACGTTGTTTTAGATTCAAAGTGATAAAAAATATAACGTGACGCAACATGTCAGAACGACTCTTCATGTAGAAAGGAAGAAAATGTTTGAAGTTTCTAAAATTAAATAGTAGACCATACATGAATCTGTTGCATCTACTTCCACAAAAGATGAGCAGTTTCAGTTTAATTTCGATTTATGTAAAATGATGATCCAGTCCAATATACCTTTAAAAAAATTGGAGCAAGGCCCTCTTTAAGAATTCCTTGAAAAACACTGCAATCGACATATTCCGGTTGAAAGTACTCTCCGAAAAAATTATGTAGGCCCAGTGTTTCGGCAAGTTTACAACGAAATTAAACACCGCATTGGAGATAATTATTTATGGTTCGTTGTCGATGAAACAACCGATAGTTGTGGAAGATACGTGGCAAGTTTAATTGTTGGAATCTTAAATGAAAATTTCCCTAGTCGAGGATATGTAGTAAGTTTGAAAATGTTAGATAAAACAAATGGCAATACGATTACCAGATTTGTAAACGACAGTCTTACGTCACTATTTTTGCCAAATGCCGTACCGGCGAATAAAATTCTATTGATGATCTCGGATGCAGCTCGTTATATGTTGAAAGCAGGGAATAATCTAAAAATATTTTACCCCAATTTAATTCACTCTACTTGCATTGCCGACGGTTTAAACAGAGTGGCTGAAGGAATACGTTTGCAGTTTCCTACTGTTAATAAATTAGTGGCAAATGGTAAAAAGATTTTTGTTAAAGCCCCACTAAGAGTGCAACATTTTAAGGAAAAATTTCCAAACATACCATTGCCCCCAGAGCCGACTATAACTAGGTGGGGAACATGGTTACAGGCCACATGTTATTATGACAAATATATCAAAGAATTTGAGGAAGTAGTTACGGAGTTTAGCGAAGATTCTTCTCAATCGATTAAAGATTGCATAAATATTTTGGAAAACAAAGATTTGCGACAAGATCCAGCTTTTCTAAGAAGCAATTATCAATTCGTATGTGAGGTAATAGAAAAGTTAGAAAAACCCAACATGTTGTTGGTAGATGCCATAAACTTAGTGAAAGACTTTAAACAACAAGCAAACGCAGTAAGGGGTGATATTGGTACTAGAGTATCTCAAAAACTTGACGAAGTGTTAAATAAAAATGCAGGTTTCGGTGTTCTTTCCGACGTTGCTCGTGTTTTACAAGGCCAGAAGGTGGAAAATTTTGAGTTAGATTCAACATTAGTTGCAAAATTCAAATTTGCGCCAACAACGAGTGTGGATGTTGAACGCACATTCTCCAATTTTAAACACATTTTAAATGATCGGCGAAAAAATTTTACAGTGGACAACTTGGAACATATTACAATCATAAATTGTTTTATAGAAAACTGAAATACGTGTGTAAAATATAAAGTCTAGGATTATTGTAATAATATTTTATCCAAAGTTCTAAGAAGTGTTCTTTGATTTGTAATATTATTATGTTTTTAATGCTTTTTTGCTTAAAATAAAATGTTTTTAATGAAAGTGTTATGCTTATTTAAGCGCTTATTCTTATTTTTTTTTGTGCTTATAAATCCGCTCTCTAATGATTAGTCAACGACTAAACTATAGGTGCATTCGAGCCCAACTTCTAACTTGACATTTTCATAATGACAGATTCATGTGAGGTCTGTCAATACAAAATTCTACTTTGATTGTCAATAACTCAAAATGAAAAATTTTCCGTTTCTCATTACGCTGTTAATACTAGCACTAGTAACAATAGCATATAAACCCACCACCAACTTTTGCAAATTGAAATGTGGCGACGAAAAGAACATCGCCTGCGATTGCGGCGTTCGTGGAGGTCGAAAGGAAGACCTCAGCGACCTCAACAAGTTTCGAAAGCACATTCTCAACGTACACAACGATATTCGCAATAGTCTAGCATCGGGAACGTCAACAGACATCTCGCTAGGTTCTTCGCCTGTTTCCAACATGAATGTTCTCAGTTATGACCTAGAACTCGAGTATGTAGCTCGTTGTTATGCCGTCCAGCACGTTTTTCATCGTGATAGGTGCAGACGAACTTCGAAATTTGAAAACCCTGGTCAGTTTATAGCGAGATTTGAAAAAAAAGCTCGGATAGAAGAAATCGCGCAGTTCATATATGACACTTTGTGAGTTTGCACTGAAAAATTTGATAATTATTGATTTTTTAAATTTTAGTAACAATGAAAAACAGAATATCAACACTAGTACTATTGATAGTTATGGAGGTTTCAGAAGCGGTGTAAATCAAAAACCTATTGAAGATTTAACTCAAATGAGTTGGTGGTCGCACACGCACATTGGTTGCGGTCGAGCCTATAATCCGTACCCTGTTTTCAAGATGGATGGCTATGTTACAGTTTGCAATTATGGTGGTTTCAGAAATTCTAACGTCGTAGGAGAACCTGTCTTTAAAAAGGGAACAGCGTGCACAGAATGTGAGACGAAGGCGACTATTAGTACTAATAGTACTGATAGTACTAATAGCACTGATATTACTAACAGTACTAATAGTAGTAATACTACTGATAGTGGTCCATGTAATAGCGTGTATATGAAATTGTGTGGTACACTGGAACCAATACCGACTGACTCGGTTCAGCCTATTCCTTCTGGAGGAATAGAACTTCAAATAACCAACGTTTTTCTAATTTTTGGTGGATGTTTGTGTACTTCAGTATTCTATATGCATTAAAATCGAGGCGAATTATTACACCAGTTATTATCGATTTTGTTTTCTAATTGCATCCATCTAACCGTTTTTGAAATTTTAGATATATTTTAAGACTGTCATGTATGTAGTCAAATCCAAACCTTTTTATCCACACATTTACACACCTCGGTCTCGGCAGATTATTTATTAACTATTGTAATTTTCCAAAAACAAACTATTAAAATATCTGACAATACACGTCCACAGAAAACTAACAGTGACATTATAACTTTGTCCATAACTGAAATAGAAAATTACATCATCATTGTTGGTGAAAATTGATGAAATTAAACCATCTAGATAAACAAAACCTCCCGAGGGGCGAAAAATGTTGCTTCCAGATGAAAGAGAAAGTGACGGATGTGAATCCTCAGCAGAAGGGGGACTTAGATACTTCCACAGAAACAGTTATTGACATCAATACTGGAAACGAAGCTGATAATGAGAACGAAAACCTTCTACTACCCAATAATGAAACTAAAAAAAAAGTGGAATTTCGTTGACAAGAAACAGCTAAGCAAACATAATTAATTCGTCGGATCAAGTGAAAGCAGTTAAAAGGTCAAAAATAAAAGAAAAGGACCCACAAAGATACAATTTAGGAGATAAAATGCATAATTTTGGCAGGCCAGTTGTTACCGGTAGAGTAAATTCCAAAAAGTTTTGTGGAAGCTAGGAAATACCTATGGATTTATATGTCAAACTGGCTATTGTATAACTTAACTCCGTTCACATATACCTAGTAAAATTTTACAACTCCATTATGGCAACAAGGGACCATAATAATCCTTGCGGTTCGGATCCATTATAAGAGTGGTTTGGCTTAAGCCACTTAAGTCATAAAAGTTTCAATGATATATGTCACGTGAGTTTTGTATAAGACCAGGTATTGAACCAAGTGGACTCTGACAATGAAATCAAGAAATCGTCATTCAAAATAGATGATGATCTAGATTTACAGAATTTATTATACTCCAATGCATTGTGGTCACAAAATGTGATAGTTCATCTGTTCAACTTTGTTCGAGGAGGACTTAAACCATTCACAAAACCTTAGTTTAGGAAATGTAAGTGACAAAAATCAACTCACTTTTAAGTTGATATGTTTAAATATACAGTCCAAATGTCAAGATGGTTTTAGGCGGGGTTTGTCAATCGTAAGTACCATTTTTAGCTACCTTGTATATGTACAAAAGTGTCTGGATAATAAGAAGCACGTTTCCGGTGTATTTTTGATTTGTCGAAAGTGTTTGATAGTATCAATCTAGATTTGGCCAGGGGCGGCTGGTGCCCGGGTTCACAAGGGCACGTGTCTCCCCAAAATTACAACGTCTACAAATACACTGTATATAGCAAAATAGTAATTTTCAATATTTAAAAAATTATCCGGAAATTTGTGTCATAATTATCAAAACTATTTTTTTTAACGCGCTCCACTTGTACAAAATGTATCAAAACTTACATCCACTTATATCTTGTGTCTTGGATATATGATATGTTGCGAATGAAGTGCTGATAAAAGTCGGAGACCGAATCATGGCTGCTTTAGACGTTTTTTTACACCGTTGCCAAGGAAACCGTGCGTTTTATCGCGGTATTGAAGTGGAGTCAGGTCCTGTTCCAACAGTGCCTAGCCACAGTCACTCAATTGTGAGCTTTAATTTTCATTCTGTCCGAGTGAATTGTTTGATTTTAAATAATCGACGGTAAAATTTTAGTGAAAAATTTAGAGAGAGCCACCCCCGATTTCTTAATAAAAAAAAGTGTTCATGCTAACACGAGGGACTTTGATAGATATGTACAACAAAGGAGTAATATAATTTTGGTTGGCGACAATTTTTCACCGCTTCAGTTTAAAAACAGCTCTAATTTTCTATAAATTAGCGAAGAATAGACGGTTAAAAAATAATAATAATACTGGAACTAGATTGAGAACATAATAATTCATTTTCTATGATTTCTTGTATATTGAAATGTATACATAGCAAACATTGAGAAAAATATGCTGGGTTCTAACCGTATATGCTGGCAAAATTTCAGAAAAAACGCTTTTACAATAAGGAATGAAAGTAATAGTTTCACCCTGTACATTAACATGTTCATGAAAATTTGAATTATTTGAAAATTAACACACAGGGATTAAAACATAGGTCAAAATGAGGCTTCAAGTCGAACCGTTTTTCAGTTTAGAAGTGACAGATTTTACCCTTAATAATTTTATCAATGATTTTATTGCTGTGTAAACTGTGTATGTTTAGACGAACACATGAAAACGCAAAACACGGAATAAGAAAAACGTTCCCATTTTGATAAAATCAAATATACAGGGTAGGTCATTAAAGGGTTTTTGATATCTTATTACTTATTATCTTATTAAAGATAGAAAAAAAGTTGAAATTAAAGATGTATGGTTTTTTTAAGTAGAATACATTAAAATTATTCCCAACTAAATATACAAACTGTTCTGTTTTTGAAGAGCAACAACTTACATACTCTGGTTCGCAATAATTTAAGCTTTATAATTCCAGTCTGTTTTTGAAATTCCGATGCGATTTTGGCACGTTATTATGATTTTCTTGAATTTATTTGGTTAATACAAGAATTTACAAATAATGTCAATAGTGTTATTTTTGGCTTCAATATTGCAAGATTTTACTGTGAGAAAAACAGAAGTATACGCGTCTTGTTATTGTATCAATTGAAGTGAATTATAATGTACAGACTGTTTATAAAAAAACCTCTGATTCATCATAATTTTCAAATATAGATTTTTTTTCAAATAGAACACCCGGTATCATATTACTGCACCTTACTCTGCTGTTTGTTTTCTTTCTTTCGATACATGGATCTTTCTCTTTAAAAAATGAAAAATTGTAGAAACTATCACCTTCAGATTTGGAAAAACTTAACAAAAACGAAAAAAAAAAAGTGAAAGATGCAGTAATAAAATATGCTTGTTTTACTTGAAAAATATATCAGTATCTGAAACCCGTACCTAATAATTTAAAAAGTGGTCGAAAGTTGTTTCGAGAGAACATCCCCCGTACCAAAAATTCAATGAACCATATCCAGCATTTTTGAAAAACTGTAAAATTTGATGTTGCAAATTTTATTTTTTACGAGAAATCATATAAAGTTGAAATGAAAATATGTATATATTCTTAAAGTAAGTGTTAAGAAGCGTGTTATGCATATGTTTCAAATGAGTTTTTACTTTATACAATTTTGTGATGACTTAATCAACATTTTTGCAAGGACACGTGTATCAGTTTGGATTGGTGCAGTGTAACACTAAAAAAATAGTATTGTGTTCCCAAAAATTTCCAAGAAAATGGAGTAAGCCGTCTCTGATTTAATCAATCAAATAACCTGGCTCATTCATTAATTTTTTTGAGCCACCTGTATCAGCAAATATATTTTGATTAAAAATATTAAAATTTAAAATTTTTTCAAAATTGGTCGAAATTGATTTCGACAGAACTTCCCTCGCTTCTTTGAAAAATTAGTTAGGAGTTAGATGATTGATTCCTCCAATGAAATAATGAGTGGAAATATGTTCTCAAACGATAAATTTCCTAGACGTTTTTTCCAAGCCAATGTACAATATTTACTAAAATTTAATTTTCCCACATCTATTGAGTACATTTGGAAAGAGTCTCAAGCCATAAATTCTCGACCCTATTTTTATATAGAAGGCCGAAAAGTTGTGTGGTTGTTATAGCAGGATGTAAAATACTCCCACACCATTTCGACAGGTATTGTAAAAAGTTAAATTAAATCCCAAAGTTGTTTTTTCGAAAAATGTTGACTTCTGCTAGAAAATGTGGGTGGTTTGTCCAACTGCAACGAGTGGTATGGTGCGTTGTCCATTACACCACAGACTGTCGTTGCAACTTGTTTAAACCACCTGATTTTGAAAAAGTATGCAGTCCATCGGTTTGTGGTAATCTCTATACTTATTTTTCGATTTTAATAAAAACTTGCATCCTTCTAATAAAAAGGTCGCGAATATAATTCACATGTAGAGGCGTAAGTGTATCCAAGAATTCTAGATGTTTCGAAAGAACTGACAAATTTCTAGCATAAAATTCACGGCCACCAACTAAACATGAATTAGAATCAAGGACTAAACTATAGATGCATTGGACCACAACTTCTAACTTGACTTTTTCATACTGACAGATTTATCTGAGGTCTGTCAATACAAAATTTTACTTTGAATGTCAATTGCCCAAAATGAAAAATTTTCCATTTCTCATCACCCTGTTAATACTTGCACTAGTAATAACAGCGTATAAACCCACCCCCAAATTTTGCAAATTAAAATGTGGCGACGAAAAAAACATCGCCTGCGAATGCGGCGTTCGTGGAGGTCGAAAGGAAGACCTCAGCGACCTCTACAAGTTTCGAAAGCACATTCTCAATGTACACAACGATATTCGCAATAGTCTAGCCTCGGGAACGTCGACAGAGATCTCGGTCAACTCTTCAAAGACCTGGTACTATTTTTCTTCGCCTGTTTCCAACATGTATGTTCTCAGTTACGACCTAGAACTCGAGTACGTAGCTCGTTGTTATGCCGTCCAGCACGTTTTTCATCGTGATAGGTGCAGACGAACTTCGAAATTTGTAAATCCGGGTCAGTTTATAGCGAGATTTGAAAAAAAACCTCGGATAGAAGAAATCACGAGGTTCGTATATGCCACTTTGTGAGTTTGTACTGAAAAATGTAATATTTATTGATTTTTATGACTTTTAGTAACAATGAAAAACGGAATATCAACGTTAGTACGATTGATAGTTATGGAGGTTTCAGAAGCGGTATAGATCAAAAACCTATTGAAGATTTTATCCAAATGAGTTGGTGGTCGCACACTCATATTGGTTGCGGTCGAGCCTATAATCCGTATCCGGTTTTCAAGATGGATGCCTATGTTACAGTTTGCAATTATGGTGGTTTCAGAAATTCTAGTGTCATAGGAGAACCTGTATTTA